CCCCACATTCTTGATCCTTTGCCCAACGGAAAAAAATATTCTAGCTTGTGCTCTGGCTCTCTCTCTGGGACTCACCGGTAGGGCTCCATGGTCCGAATCCCATAGAAGAGTGCCTCTTCCAACAGCCCAAGGTTGATGCAGGCGTCCATGGCGCAGTCGAGCACCTTCAGCTGGTAGATGTTGATATCAGGAAGCCGTTCAGAGTTGCTGCTTATGATCGCCTGGCACATGGCCAGAACCTGTTCCCACTCTGTTATTAACCTTAGTTAAGGATTCATTGTCTTCATAGAGAAAAAACAAAAGCAAAATGAGACTCTCAAAAAGGATGAAGAGCGCCCAGGCGCAGGAGGGAAGGGAGTGCCCATTATTTCACACAGATGAGCTGCCTGAAAACATTCTTGAGAAACAAAAACATGTAAGTGGCATCTCAGCAAAGTAAATTCTGTTTACATCAACAAACCATCTTCTAACCAAGCCTATGCTTTGGAAGATTAAAATTGCCAAAGAACAGTTCTTTCTTCACACTCCAACATGGACTCTCTTTAACTAGTCCTGAAGTGAATGAGGCTCTTAATTAAACTGGATTAAGATTTAGTTCCATATATAACTATTTATTACTTCGTTAGCTTCTGTTTAAAAGTTGATTTGAAATTAAAGAAGATTTAAAGAGATTTCTTCTGCAAAAGGAGGAGCATATGTGTGCTTCTGTGCTGTGTGAGTCTTTGGCATACATGAAACAAAACACACAACTCATAGGCACATGCTATGGGCAATAATGCAAAGAAATTCATTTCCAATGTATCTTATATTTATATTTATTTTTCTTATAAAGCACAAGTGACCCAAACCTAAACTTAACCAAATAAAGTTATTCTTATTTGATGAAATAAAAGCATTAAGAACATAGTTTATGCATATAAACCAAGTGAGGAGAAATGCGTCTTAATGAGGACAAGAGACCCAGTACCTGCTTTTGAGCAATACCATCTTTCCGATTACCCATGAGTCAACAACTGAACCTCATGGAGCCTCAGTGTGACCTCACTTTCTCTCTCTCTTTCATTCATTCTTTCAAGAGTGGAGGGTCCTGCTATGTTGCCCAGGTTGATCTTGAACTCCTGGGCTCAAGTGATCCTCATGCCTCAGCCTCCTGAATAGCTGGGACTTCAGGCATGTGCCACTGTGACCAGCTTTTAACTTTATCTTTTCAGTCATAAAATATCAGAGGCAGTGAGAGGATGGAAGATGTGGTGTACTGAGCGTACCTTGAATCTCTCCAAGGTGAATTAGCTCAGGAGCAGAGCAGAAGGCGGGATTGTGGGGCCCTGGGCCCTCTCACAGTTTCTCTGCTACGCTGCTGCATTAGGCCTGGAAGAGCCGAGGAGGACATTATGTTGGCATTGGCCCTTCTCCCAACCCTATTCTACCTTCAGCCAGCATAACTCTGCATTCATCTGCTTTCATGTTGGGATTCCAGTTGGGGGAAATGTTTGAAGATTTCAGAAATAGCAGAAATAGCATAGCCTTTGATCAGCGATAAAGCTGTATTCAAATCTAAGCTTGTTCTGTCATTTGTCAGATTTGAGGTTCTGAGAAGTCCAAGTGCTTTGAGATAGGCTAGAAATAGAAATGCCTAATATCATTATAATTATTTAATAAAATACTGTATATAAATTGAATAGACTCTTCATGTGTGCTACCATGAGCCGGACAGAGCTCCATGCATTATGGACACAGAGGGAAAACACCTATTGGCATGTATAATGCTACATAGATATTATTGCATTCCTCTGTCTTTTCTCTCAGATTTCTGAGCAAGACTAGAGTTAAAGAAAAGGGACAGAGGTCCTGGTTTGATGGAACTTCCCCCATTCCTACCTCTCCATTCCCACAGGATCCAGTCGCTTGGCAACCCAGCCATCTGTGCTCCAACCTTGCCCCCAACTCCAGCCCTCTTCTCTGACATCCTGACACTGCAAGACCCACCCTGAACAGAGAGCCCACTGGGCACACACTCCTTTATTCCTCTCTAGCAAAATCTACCTTTCCAGTGTCCATAAGCTTCAGATACTGCTTCCCAAGACTTCAGAAACTGCTTTTACCAAACCAATCAAGCCACTTGTATGAGTGGGCACCAATAGCTTTATGAACCCTCACAGGAAACATATTTCCTTTCAGCTGAGGCAGAACCCCCTACCCTGAGGCATGACTTCCTTAGTGGGAATTTAAAGCATGATAGAGCTTGGCTGAGGGCCCTTTATGTCATACCCTTATTATTTTAGGACAAGTTCTGCTCTAAGGAGTTGACTCTGGTCCCATAAGAGGTATATTTATTGAAGAAAAATGAGTTAGTGATTTTCTTTTGTATTCATCTGACATGGATGTTTAAAGTTTGCTGAATGTGTTCCCCAGGGATTGGGGGGAAGCGTATCTTAGGCAATGCACTGATTTTGTAACAGATTGCCTGGCTAACCTCTGTGGCTTTTCATTCCAGGATTAGATATTTGACGAACTGTCAGGAGGAATGATTGTCTTTTATACAACACTAGACATTTCTGTGGCGAGACTTGTACCTTATTTTAACATTGTATTGTATGACCTCCACTGTTATTTGCCTATTCATTTCTATGTGTTCCAACTCATTCTAAAGAGGTTTGAGGTGACAAGCCTTAGCAGCTGGAACCAGATGTGATGTCCTGCAGCCACTCACAGGAATACATCCACTGCATTTTCCTGTGAGCTGGGAAGAACTATGTGTCAATTCCCCTCCACAACACTGGCAATCATCTCCTGGCAAAGAGAGGCAAAATCTTTCCTAGAAAATACCCCAGTGAGAGCAAAAAAGAGAGAAATAAAAAGAGAATAATTTAAACTTTAAGAGGCTTTTTCTCCAAGTTAATGTGATGTGTATTTGCTCAAGGATTTAGTCTCTGGCATCTATGTGTTTACTGTAAGTCACTTTATTCCAGTGAGCCCTGGACCAAAGCAGGGCTAGGTGGCCCATTTAAAGAAAATGGATCACCAATAAGCAGGATAGATACCTTTTACTTTTAAATGATCATAAAAGGATTAGGGGAAAACAGCGAAGGGAGCCAAGTCAATTCACTTGGGAATTAATCAACCTCTTGAAACTCTTAGACTGTCAGACCACAGAGCTCTTACCTAATTATATTACTGTCCTGTGTAAAACCACCCAGGGTCCCCTCACCTTGAAATTCTCTTCTCCTGTGCATGGCATTGGAGGCCTTGCCACGTTCCTCTCCACTCAGGCTGAACAACTGGCCATCTCTCCACAGAATGCCTCTTTGTTCTGTGCTTCTACATAACTCTCCTCTCTATTGGAATCTCCCTTCCATAACTGGCCTGGTGAAATGCCACCTCTTCCTCCTTGATATAGCTCTGTGAAACCTTCTTTAATCTCATAAAATTGACTTCTGTGCAGCTGTTGCTCCTATAAATATATATGTGTGCATGTGTATGTGTGTGTGTGATATGTATTGTATTAGTCATTTTGGTATCTCTATAATGAAATATCTGACATAGATTATTTATTAAGTGAAGACAGGTTTACTTTAACTCATGGTTCTGGAGGTTCACATCCAAGGCTGGGCAGTTCCATTGGTTGGCTGTTGGTGAGGGATGGCAATGGCAGAAACCCACAGGTGAGCATTCATGTCTGAGCCAGGAAGCAGATGGAGATTAAGAGACCAGGGTGCCACAATCTCCTTTAAAGGCAGGCCCACAGTGACCTGAGGACTTTTCACAGGTTCACCTCTGAAAGGTCCATAGCACCTACCACTGCTGCCATACTGGGGACTGAGCTTTTTCAGATGGAACTTTGAGGGATATATACCCAAACTATAGCATGAATTAATTTACATGTTTATTATTCCACTTTGTGTGACAGTTTTGAATGCAGGGCTGTGTCTTCTAACTTCAGCATGAATCATAAGGTGGATTATGACTTGCAAGGTCACTGGCATAGAGTCAGTTTTCAGTAAAACCTGTCCAGCTGAGACTGGGCTATAGTTGGGTAATTCAGAGGACCTGATCCCACTGCATTGGATCTCAGAGAACAGGTCTCCACCTCTGCAACAGAATAGCTCCTGGAGCCCATGAATGTGGACCCCTTGCTCCCAGAGCTGGCTGTTCTCCCAATCAGTATCTTCCATTCCATCTCTAGATGGGGTTTCAAATTCCACCTTGGCTCTGTTTCCGCTCCTCAGAGCTTATTTCCATTTTTCTGCATCCCTCATAATATGTCCTATCCCAAACTGAATATAAAATTACAGATATGATCAGACCAATGCTATCCCCTTTCTCATTTTATACTCTACATTTCTATGAATACATAAAATCAAAGTTTTCTTTTGGAGGGTTGGGTCATACTCCTACATTTTATTAGTATTCACTGTTTATCAGAGCCTAAAATCCCCTAACATTTTCTGCTGTAAGCTTTCTGCATATATATACACTTGAACTTTTTGATCCAAAGAGAAGAGTTTACATATACTCCTGTCAAATTTCATCTTTTGAAGCTCAGATGCCATTCAGATTTTCAGGGATCGATTAGGCTCTTGATGCTATCATTGCACCTCTGTTGTCTTTCCCAACTACACATCTTTGGATAGCTCATGAACCTGTGTTCGGTTATCTTCATTCAAGGCACTGAAACAAAGGTTGAGGAGGACTGAGATGGGAACAAAGCACTCCAGGATGACAGTGACCCAGGTAGCATCATTCTCTCAGTATACCTATTACATGGATTCTGTCAGTATCTAGCTTAAATTTCTTGACTACTTGTTTTCAAGTCCTTTATGAAATTTAGATAAAAAACTTGCTCTTAATGAATCCATACCATGTCCTGGTGATTGCAGGTGATTCTGCTCTTTTAGTAAGCAATTATAGATTCTTTAATGAGACTGTTAACAAACTCACTGGGCTATAGATTTCTGAAATATTTCACCTTTCAAAGTAGAAACATCCACCTACTTACCTTTCTTATTCTTTAAGTTATTTAAAAAAACATTGTTTGTAGATTAAAAAACTCTTTTGCAGATTTTCTCAGGACCTGAATTATAATTAACCCAATTCAGCCATTGATCTTTTTGCAACCTTCAATCTTGTTCTTATCTGTGGTTTCCCTTTGTCACATTTTTTGCTCACGTGAAATCTTCCACTGGGAATAGGTAGCCCCCCCTCTGGTGCTATCTATCCAGATCCTGTCCTTATTTGGAACATGTTTTACACAGGAGAGCATCAATGGAGCTTCCTGGGGGATCTCTGTCACATGCTATCTCCCTTTGCTCTGAACTTTGACCCACTCATGGAGCTTACTATTTATGGTAAGAATTTATTATATAGCAACTCCCTATTGCTGCTGTCATTGTGGCTGATTTATTATGTAGCTTCTAAGTCTGAGGGTCAATGGCATTAAGTTATAAGGATTCTATTCTTTCGTAGAGATGAAGGGGGCCATGGGAGGAAGGCAATTAGAAATTGGTTACCTCTTATATATGAAAAAAACTCTACTATTTGCCCTCCTACTCTAACTGGTGATATTACCAGATCTTTCCCAGCCATTAACCTAAATTGCTGGCTGGGGTTAGAGATGCAGCTTATGGCCATGGAACAGAAAGAAACTTATGGAGAATTCCAATCCTGCTCTTGACCTTATTAATACCACACTTCCAACAATAAAGAAGCAATGCCAACAGTTAATCCAATCCACAGGTGAAAGGATACTCCAATGTGCCTTCAGTTCTTCAATTTTTTTCAGGGATTCCTGAACTTCCTTCCAGACTTGCTCATCGCCAGTTAGCATATCAGCATCCTGCTCAAGCCAAATTAAAAGAGAGCAAAGAAAAACAATCCAATTAAAAATGGGGAAAATAACTGCACAGACATTTCTCCAAAGAAGATATACAAATGGCCTACAAGCACAAGAAAAGATGCTTCACATCATTAGTCATCAGGGAAATACAAATCAAAACCACAGTGAGATATTATTTTACACCTGCTAACAGTTACAATTGAAAAGATAACAGGGAATAACTATCAGTAAGGATGTAGAGAACTGAAAGGCTCATCCCCTGCTTGTGGCAATATAAAATTGTACAGCTTTGAAAAACAGTCTTTTCAGTCCTCAAAAGATTAAACACAGAGTTACCAGATTACCAGTTAGTTACTACATTAACAATTCCACTCCTAGATTTATAACAAAGAGAAATGAAAACATACATTCACAAACGTTCACAGTGACATTGTTCATAAAAGCTGAAGTAGAAACAATTCCAATTTCCATCAATTGATGGATGGATAAATAAATAAGATATTCATACAATGGAATATTATCCAACAATAAAATAAATGAGAGACTAGTACATGCTACAATATGGATGGACCTTGAAAACATTATGCTAATAAAAGAAGGCAATCAAAAAAAGACCATATGTTGTATAATTCCATTTATATGAAATGTCCAAAAGAGGCAAATCCACAGAGACAGAAAGTAGATTAGTGGTTGCACAGGGTGAGGACATAGCAGGAACTGGGGAGTGACTGCTAATGGGTAAGTTTTCCCTTTTGGGATAATAAAAAAATGTTCTAAAATTGACTGTGATATTGATTGCACAACTCTGAAGAAAGACGAAAAACCACTGAATTGCATGCTTTAAACTTAGTGAATTGTATTATATGTGGATTATCTCTTAATAAAACTGTGATTTTTAAAAATCCTAAAGGGAAAAGAGGTAAGAAAATGAATTATTTGCTAGGGGGCCTTCAGATAGCACTTTCATCAAGTCTGTTATCAAGCAAGCTAGGATAAAGAAAGATACATACAACCAGATCCATGTAAACCAACTCCAAGTTCCATAAAAACTAAAAACAAAACAAACAACCTTCCTTAAAAAAGCAATCAAAATAAAAATTTGAGCTTTTATTAAATGCCTACTCTCCCACTTGGTAAGGAGTTCCTCTATCTTTCTGTTTGCCATTGTATCTCCAGTAACTAGCACAGTGTTGAGCATATGGCAGGTGTTCAATCAATATCTGTTGAGTAAATGACCAAAAAATATGTGTAATGGTACCAGTACTTTACCAATATTGTTCTATTTTATCTTCATATAGTTCTCTTATGTATATAAGATCATTCCTGATGCAATTACACAGGTGGGGAATGGACACAGAGTACCCCAGGTCAGGCAATGAGAGGGTACCAAGTCTTTAGAATG